CCCAGCAGGTTCCCTGCTGCAGCCTCCGTCCACATTCCTGGGCAGAGGTGTCACCTCCCCCTCCCGGCTCAGGTGACAGGCTCTCAGGTCTCCCATCCCCAGGGCACATTCCCAGGTCAACACTCCCCTCTCCCTGCTGCATCACATCGTCACACCAATCACCACCTTGCAGGGCTCTCTCACCTCCCCTCTGACACACAGCACTGGATGGAAGACAGGATGATGGGCTAGATGGGCCCTCACCTGGCAACTCCTAGATGCCAAGCCTCAGCTAAAAAGCAGTGGATCCGACCCTGGGCTGGGGAGATGGCAGCCGGGCTCGGGGGTGGGTCCCAGGCCTTCCCAGAGCTACTGCCCAGTCCCAGCAAGCGTGGAACAGCTGCGAGCACTTCAAAGCTGGGAGCTGCCGGGTCAGGGCCAGGTCAGCCAAAAACCAACCGCAGGACTGCTGAACTGACACCACAAGCTCCCAAGGGGCATGGGGGCTGGAGGGGGCTGCCCCAGGCCTGCAAAGCCATGGGGAGACAAGTCCCACAACAGATCACAGAGCCCGGGTCTCCCCAGCGCCTCCAACCTGGGCAGGCGGCACTGGCAGAGAATTAGGGGGATCCCAGCAGTGGGGGAGGTGGGTGGCACAGGGGAAAGGGGGGGGAATTCTGGGGAGAGGAGCAGCAGAGAATCAGGGAGGGACCCTCGCAGGGAGGAGTGGGGGGAGGAGCCCCAATACAGAACCCCGGAGAGCAAGTCAGTCTGGGGCCCCCTTACTGGTTTCCCAGCTCCCCCACCCCTGACATCTGGCCCCAGCTCCTCTCAGCGTGGCCCGTGCACGAACCATACACCACATTTCACACCTGAGCGGATGCTGCTTGTGGTGACAGGGGCCCGAAACCGCAGACACCTGCAGCGACACTCACAGGCCTCCCCAGTCCCCAGCCAGGGGCAATGGGCCCCCAGCCCTCCAGGCTGACCCTTCCCCCGTCAGATGGGCTCCCCCCCAACCTGGAATCTAGGAAGGCGCAATGGGGCACGAGACAAACGGCAGAACCTGCGGCGCCGACAGAGCCGGGCGACCCCCCGAGCCTGCCACCAACCTGGGCAGCTACTAATAAAATGGACATTTTCCAACTCAAACCTGGACCCGCCCCAGAGCAGGCTGGGTTTGGGGAGCAGGTCCAACTGATGCTTTCTGTCGCCCCAGACACTGCACATGAGCCGGCGGGTCTGATGTTCCCACGCCTCCCCCCGGGGATTTTTAGTTTTCTGTTGATTAAAATGGAAATTTCTGTGACCACACAACAAAAAGCACCAGCCGTTTCGGTTGGAAAGTTTGGGTTTTTCCTGCCCACAGAAGTCGTTTCTGCCCATCTCTAGATAAGTTGGCGATTCACTGTCCCCGCACACACCCCCTTCTATACCCCTCCAGCGCAATGCCCCATAGACGCCCCTCACCCTGCTAACAATGCATTTCCAGTGTGCCCCCGGCCGGCTCCCTCCCACGCACACCCTGCAGTAATACAGGTGAGTGGGGGAAGGGCGTATGTGCCCCCAGCACACCCTCCTTAGCGCTGCGCATCCCCCCAGCATGCAATCCTTGGTGCTCCGCGCCCCCCCCAGCATGCCCGCCTTGGTGCAGCATGCCCCCCCCAGGCACCATGCACCTTCTCCAGCATGTCCTCCTTAGCGCCGTGCACCCCCCCCCAGCACACCCACCTCGGCATCATGTGCCCTACCCCCCCAGGACACCCACCTTGACACCACACGCCCCTCAAGCACACCCGCCTTGGTGCCCCATGACCCACCTTGGCACAGCACCCCCCTCCCACCAGCACGCCCTCCTTGGCACTATGCCCCCCCCAGCACGCCCTCCTTGACCCCGTACACAGCTGCCCTCCCAAACACACCTGCCTTCATGCACGTGCCCCTGCCCTCCCAATAATGCAGACTCTTCCTCCCGCCACCTGCGCAGCCCTTCATGCTCCCCCCAGCAATACTCTTTTCAGCCCCTCTTTCCCCCCAGCAATGAGAAGAGACGGGGCTGGGCCTGGGGTCCAAGGAGACTTTATTACACACAAAATGGAGACAGACTGTTCCGGTGCCATAGCAACCAACACACTATGAAAATAACCTCTCTAGGGAGCTCGGGGCCCCAGGATATTTACACTGAGGGGGCGGAGGAGCTGGCCCGTAAGACACAGTATGGGGGGAAGGGGGGGGGGTAAACAGAGTGTCACACACAGACACTAGGAGACAAGGGAGAAACTGCTCCCTAGGGCAGAAGTATACTGGGCGCCCCGGGGCCATCCACCCCCAAAGCTGGGCAGGTCACAGACATAGGGTGCACCTCGGGGAAGCCCCCCAAACTGAGATGGGGTCACACAGACTCTCCCAATCTCATACCAGGTGGGGCAGAATCAGGCAAATCACATCTTGAATCGAGGGAGCTGTGTGGGCCATCTTTTAAAGAGGGAGGGGGATCTGTGTTCCCGCATTTTCAGCCAGGCTGGGGGACCCCAGCACAGCCCCAGTCCTGTCCCCCATCGCCCCCCCCCCCCCCCGACCTCCGAGGCTGACGCCTGGCTCGGGAACTACTCTAGTGTACAAAAAAAGAGGCATCAGCACGAACCTTCCTGTTGGGAGGGGGGGCTCATCTCCCCATCCTGCCCCCCTTCCCAGCACTTGGGGGTCCCCAGCCCCATGTGTTCACCCAGAGCAGAGCATCCCCATCCCACCACATGGGTGTCAATGGAGCCTCTCCCCCAACACAAGGGTGCATCTCCCCCCACCTGGCCAGGCAGCCAAGACCCGCCTCCTGCCTGGGGCTGGCGGGATCACGAGTGAGGAGTCCAGCATCCTTGGCCCCCAGGAGTTTCCGCAGCCCCCTGAGTTAATCCGTCTCTGCTCCCCAGTCTCTCGTCCTCTCCCGCGGGGACTTCACCCCCCATTGTCTCGGCTTCCCCTCAGGGCAGGGCAGGGCAGAGCAGTCACACGTAGACAGCCGTCTTGGAGATGATGGACCCGTCGTGCTGCGACTCCATGTCGTCGTCCTCGTAGCCGCTCGGAGCGCTGTGCCCGGGGTGGGCGCTGAGCCGCAACATGGGCCCCACCTCGTCAAGCCGCTCCTCCTCCTCCTCCTCCTCGTGCCGCTGGCCGGGGTAGCCATAGGGGCCGGGCCACTCCCCGGGGGCCCCCTCGCCTGGTGCGGCCTTGAGGGGCCGGTCCAGCTCCGAGTCGGGGCGGTAGGTGAAGTTGTGGGGCGCCCCATTGCCGTAGACGCGGGTGGTGGGGTCATAGGCACCCTTGACAGGGGGGCGGGCACGGCGCCGGCGGAGCAGGAAGAATACCAGAGCCCCCAGCAGGGCGAGGGCCAGGATGCCCCCGACGAGGCCCCCAGCCACGGCTCCGGCGCTGCTCTGCAGCCTCGTGGGGTGCTCTGGAGTAGAGAAAAGACGGGGCAGGGGGTCACTCTCCAAGCTTCGGGGGATGGAGCCGTGGGGGGAGGGCCGGGGTCGTGGCGACCCCTTGGTCATCTGACGCACGCTTCCATGCAGAGCCGGGTCCTCCTGGGGCCGAGACGGGGTCTCCCCTCCCTTCCCCGCTCTGCCCAGTGCCCCCAAAACTCACACCCCGCCTGGACCCACAATGCACCTGGGCCCCTGCATGCCCATTCCAACAAGGCACCCAGCTGTGGGCACATGCCTCACCCCCTGCCCTACCCCTCCAATGCACCTGGGCCCCGCATGCCCATCCCCCTCAACACATCTGGCTGTTGGCACATGCCCCATCCCCACCCCACCGGGCTGTTGGCACACACCAAGCCCCCTGCCGCACAATGCACCTGGCTGTGGACACATGCCTCACCCCCATAATGCACCGGGCTAGTCGCACACACCAAGCCCCCTGTCTCCCTCTCCACAATGCACCCGGCAGTTGGCACACACCAAGCCGCCTGCCCCCCCCGTGCATCCGGCTAACGGCACATCGCCTGCCCCACAATGCACCTGGTTATTGGTATATGCCCCACACACTCCCCACAACGCACCTGGTTTGCCCTGCCCTCCCACAATGCACTTGGGTATTAACTGACCCCCCCACCCTGACCCCCATATTAATGTTCACGCATGCTGCAAGGCCTATAAAGCCTGGCTGCTGCAGGAGCCTCGCACCTGTGTGCAGATCCTGAGAGCAGAGAATTATTGGCACATAACAGTCACAGGCATCCCCATCCCCGCAATGCTGCCCAGTCACCACCAGAGCAGTAACAGCGGGAGTCCTGACGCCAGCCCAGCCCAGCCCCCTCCTTAACCCACCAGACCCCCCCCCTCCTACCCCTAAGAACCAGGGAGAGAACCCAGGAGTCCTGAGACCAGCCCAGCCCCGATTGACTAGGAAAAGCTGAAGCTGCGGGAGATTACCCCAGCTCCCGGACTGCAGGACCCCTGGGGAGGTGGGGGAGTGGGGGGGAAGAGCCTGCAGCTTCCAGCAGGGGTGTGGGAGAGCCCACCACACCTCCAGAAAAGGCAATGAGATGTAACACATTCCCGGAGCAGCTTCCACCAGCTAGGCAGGGCCTCTGCCCCCCGTCCCTCACTCAGAGGGCACAGGCTCCAGCAGGATCCAGAGCAATGCCTTGGGGAGAGGCGATGAAGCGGCCGGGGGGGGGGGGGGGGGAAGGGTAGGAGCCAACAACATTTGCAGGGACCCCCTCTCGTCCCAGGAGAGGCCCCTTCGCCTCCCAGGGGATGACACAGACACCCCTCCCCCACTCCTGGGAGCCCCACCCCCTGGAACTTCCAATATCCCCGCATGAGATCGCGCCACCTTCCCCTGGGAGCCCCCCCAGCACACAGACACCCCCAGCCCTGGATGAGCCTCCCACCCCCACCCTGCACTCCTCCAGCCCTTTGAACAGACCCTGGACCCAGATCACACACCCGTCCCCCTGGTGGGGGAGGGGACACCCCCCATTCTCAGCCACCAGGGAAGGACCCCCGCGCACTCACCTCGCACCAGGATGATCTGTTCGACCCGTGTCGTCCCCACGCTATTAGTGACCTGGCAGATGAAGGTCGTGTTCACCGCCACGTCCACCGACTGCACCAGCAGCCGGTCGCCCTGTACCTGCACCGTGGGGGGCAGCGGCCCGCTGGGGCTGGGGGAAGGGAGGGGAGAGGCTGGTTAGAGACCAGGGCAGGGGGACCTGACTCCCAGCATACCCACCCCACGCCCTTCTCAGACCTGGGGTTTGACCTGGCTCCCAGCCCCATCCCATGATCTACATACTAGACCCCATGTCCCTCCCAGAGCTGGGATAGAACCCAGGACTCCTGGCTCCCAGGCCCCACCCAGCCATTTGACTCCTTCAGGTGTGCATTTAAAGCAGGAACAACCCCCAACACACTTGCTGCTGACACACTATGGGGAGTGGGGGGCAGAGGGAGACCCAGGCAGCAGTGGGCAGCCACTGGGACAACGGTTCCGAGCTCCGTGCCAGGGGCTGGGTGGGGCCCCCCAGGTAACCCCTCCAATGCTCAAAGTAAGCATGGCTGCCACACTGCCCAAAGCACACTGACCCCCACCCCCCAGCCGCAGTCCTCCCCGGCACAGGGCTCTCCTTTCAGCCCGGCTGCCGAGTGACCAACAGCTGGCTGCCCTGCACCTAGCAGGGTCTGGGGGTGGGGGGGTGCAGCTGTTCCTCCCGGGTGGGAAAGATGAACTGGTTCAGACCATCAGCCTCCCGGGCCTTGCAGAAGCGGGGACAGAATGAGACAGCCCCCTCCCAGCCAACCGAGTCTCCCACAGGGACAGGCCACCCTGAGGTGAGGAACCCGCCTACAGAGAGTGCCCGGGGCCCCTCACTAGCCTGGCTCTGGGGAGTTTGGGGCCCTGCTAACCAGCAGAACAGGACCGGAGGCCCTTCACAACCTAGAAAAACAGGTTTGGGAGCTGGTTTATGTTTTCATTTCCTCCTCCCCATGGGAGCAGCACCATGAGCTGCCACCCCTCCTGTAAATGTAATCCCTTTGTCCCCTGGAACACCCCTTCTCCCATGAGGGGCACAGAACCCAGGAGTCCTGGCTCCCAGCCCCGCAGCTTTAACCCTCTAGACCTCACTCCCCTCCCAGAGCCAAGGACCCTCTCTCCCTGCCGTAACCCCAGGGCAGCCTGCACCCCAAACCCCTCATCCCCGGCCCCATCCCAGAGCCTGCACTCCCAGCCGGAGCCCCAGCCCTGAACCCTCATCCCTGGCCCAACCACAGAGTCCCCTCCCACACTCCAAACCCCTCGGCCCCACTCCCACCACATGAATTTTGTTTTGTGCATGTGCACATGGGTGGGAAAAATGAGAGGGAACACTGCCTCCCAGCCCCCCCTGCTCTAACCCACTAGGCCCCACTTGCCTCCCAGAGCCAGGGATACAACCCAGGAGTCCTGGCTCCCAGCCCCCCAGCTCTAACACACTAGATCCCAATCTAGGAGTCAGCCAGTGTGTTTCGGGGGTGGGGAGGGGGGGCCTAACAGCAGCATCTCCTCCCCCATGGGCCTGCGCAGGGACTCACGTGCTCCAGGAGTAATGGGTGGGTTTGGGGTTCCCTTTGGCCACACATCTCAGCACGGCCTCATTCCGGCTCACATACCAGTTGTCATCATAGCCCTCGATGGTGACTTGCGGGGGGTCTGTGGAGAAAGCAGAGGGGCCAGTCAGACCCTACCGCCTGCCTTTGGGGCCCAAGCTATCCTTGTCCCAGAGACAGAGAACCCAGGAGTCCTGGCCCCCAGCCCCTCCCCACCTTCTAACCCACTAGACCCCACTCCCCCACCAGGGACAGGAAAGAACCCAGGAGTCCTGGCTCCCAGGCCCTCTGCTCTAGCCCCCACTCCCCTCCCAGAGCCGCGGATGGGACCCAGGAGCCCCGGGCCCCGCACTCACACAGCACGGACAGCGTGACAGGGATGTTCTCCGGCTCCGTCAGTGTCCTCTGGCTGATGACGCAGGTGATTTGCTCCTGGTCTGCCACCGCCGTGGGCACCATGTTGAACTGGCTGGTGACAGTGACGGTGCCGTCTCCGTTGGCCACCTCGGAGGCATTGAAATTGCCGGGAAGGGTGGCGATCCAGGTGATGCGGGCAGGGGGTTTGCCATTGGCTGAGGTGCAGACGGCCACCGGGATCATGGCGTTACCCGCCACCACCTTCCGCGACTCCGCCGTGTTGGTGGGCCTGGCTGGGGGGACCAGAGGGCAGGGTTAGCCAGTGGCGTTCCCCAGGCTCCTCCAGCCAAGATCGGGGGCGCCGTCGCACCAGGCAGTGCGCAGAGATTGGACTTGGCCAAGCTCCGTGGGAGCTGACCCAGGAGTCCCGAGTCCCAGCTCCCCGGACTCATCTCGCCAAGATCCTGTCGCTGAAAGTCCCGTTCCCAGCAGCTGCCCAACGAGATCTTCTCCCAGGGCGACCTGGTAGCCATGCCTAACTATGCTTTCCCCATCGTTAATTAAAGCAATTAGCACAGGCAGTTCTGCCCATGTCAGACACAGGAACGAGGAACCCTGAGGCACCGATTTCACCACTTCCCCTGCCCTGGGAGTGGCGCAGGCTGCATCTGATCCCAGGGGCATCCCACAGACCATTCCCTAAGAAGATGGGACCTGCAGGCCAAACCATCAGCCCCACACCCCCCCTAGAAGGGAAGGCCTGTATCTCATTCCCCCACCCCCACCCCAGCCAGTCCCATGCCCTTGGGTGGGATTGGCACACCCTAGAAGGGAAGGCCCCATGTGACATTCCCCCCCAACCAGTTCCCTGCCTGGGGCGCCTCCCTCACCCAGGATGCTGAGTGTGGTGACCCCATCCTCGTTGCCATGAGGGTAGGTGGCGAATTCGCAGATGTAGGTGCCCTCGTCGCCCATGCGCAGGGGCTGGATGATCAGAGTGGCGTCCTGCAGGGAGACGTTCAGAAACCGGATTCTGCCGCTGTTGTCCAAGGGGAAGTTGGGCTTGTGGTCCGGGAGGTAGACAGCCACGTTCTGCTTCTTGCCCCCCATCTCCTTCATCCAGGTAACCTGGCTGACCTTGACGTCGGAGCTGGTTGTGGGGAAGAGGCATTGCAGCGTGGCCTCGTCGCCCACATAGCCCGTGACCTCATTCCGGACCTTCACCCGCTGGGTCAGCACCACTGTGGGGGGAAGAGACAGAGCCAGTTAGTGGGACAGGGACAGCCACTAGACCCAATGCCACTCACAGAGTTGGGATGGAACCCAGGAGTCTGCTCTCCCAGACCCTCCTGCTTTGACCCGCTGGACCCCACTCCCCTCCCAGAGCTAGAAACGAGGACTCCTGGCTCCCAGTCCCCCTGTTCTGACCACTAAACGCCACTCCCCTCTCAGAGCCAGAACAGAACGCAGAAGTCCTGGTTCCCCGCCCCTCTGCTCTGACCACTAAACCCCACTCCCCTCACAGAGCCAGGAAGAGAACCCAGCCCTCCAGCTCTAACCACTAGACCCCACGTCCTTCCCAGAGCCAGGACAGATCCAAATATCCTGATTCACAGCCTAGAGAGAGACTGAGCTGGTTAGTGATTGTAGGGGGAGAACAAGAGAGACACACCCTCATGAGTATCCCACACTGAGCTCCAAGCCCCTGCAGCCCAGAGATGGCCAGCTCCTCACTAGGGATGCCCCTCTGACAGGGAAATGTGGAAGGCTGGGAGCCTGAACCCCAGAGAGTTACAGATGGGTTTGGGGGGATAATTCCGATAGGAGCCATTTAAGTTGCAGGTGTTATTCTGGGGGTCTGACTAGATGATCTAATGGTCTCTCCACCTATGGACCTGCTTTTCCTGCCTGCCCGGGACCCTTGTACCCACAGATCCAGGGCGATTCAGGTCAGAAGGGACTGTTCATGCTTGCAGTCTGACCTGCTGTATAGCACAGGCCAGGGAATTCGACGCAGTCCCCCTGCACAAACCCGCCTCTCCGCGAGAGCCCACCACTTCCCATGGGAGTCCCTCCCAATCCACTCAGAACTGGTGCCTTGTTTCCAGTTGTACCATGTCTGGCTTTACTGTCCCATCACTGGCTCCTGTTCTGCTTCTCCGCTCGGTTCAGAGAGCCTTTCAGCGCCTGGGACAGTCACCTCCTCAGGGGCGTTGGAGCAGCATGTAGAGGGGTGTGCCAAGAGCCATTGAACCAAACTGTAAACTCTGCATGTGATGGAAACCACTTCGATCCCCCGACCCCTGCACCTCGTGACCCTTGTGAGACACTAGCCAGACCGAGCACGCTCAGTCTCGCTCCAAGGCATTTTCTCCAGCCCTCAGATCATTTCTGCAGCTCTTCTCTGCCCACGGGTTTAACTCTATGGGTTTGGGGCACGCAGAGCCCTGTACGAACACGCCTGTTCCTGGGTCGTTTGCCCAAGTAACAACGCCTGGGCAAGGGCTGCACAGGGAATTGCTCCGATAGAACTGAATGCGGCAGCTTTGTAACCAGTCCAACTGCATGCTTAGACCTAAGCCCACCTCCAGCCAACCCAGTGTGTCCATTTACACCAGTTACCTGAATCCCTTTAAACCCAGACCTTAAAGAGGTGCAGCTCTGCATATAGACAAGGCCAAGGGACAACTGGGGCCGGTTCAGAAAAGGGAAAAGCTAGGCTGCATACCATGGAAAAATATCACAACAGAGAGATGGATCAGGCTGGAGAATTGTCTCCCCAAAGGAAGAGCTGGGAGCCCCAACATTGGGCAAGGGGTCCCTGTATAAATAGCCCCACGCCCCATCCCGTCAGGGATGCACCAGATGAAGATCTCTTCCGCCGTGCTGCCATGAATTCATAAAAGAGCAAGCGTGCAGTTTAAAGCGCTGTCACCCTCCCGTGCCCCAATCCAGAGCGAGGGAGAATCGGGCAGAGGCTGCCAGCCGTGGGACATGGGAAGGTTTCTAGCCCAGCCAGCTGAATGCTGCTACAGGTGCTGATCAAACACACTCCATTTAACAGGCCCCCTTGCACCCGATTTGTTCATCCCGCTAACCGGAGACAGCGCTGTTCTCCCAAGGAGAACCATGCAGGGTCTGGGAGCCTCCCCCGGCCATCTGTCTGTCCAATGTGCCATTGTATTCCAGCACAGACAGACTGACTCGTTCTATCCACAGCCCCAGACTGGCATGCACAGATACACGCCCATCCAACTCTCTCACACAAAGGCTTCCACCTCTCCCTGTACAGTCACTAATCTGAAATTTTCGTGACTCAGGGCCACATAAGACCCATTGTTTTTGTTTCTTAAACTCTTCCTCCCCCCACCCCGATTTGGCTGGTTTTGCCTTCTGCTTTTTGAGCTGTTTTCTTGTCTCCTGACACCCCACCCTGCCAGCCAGGAGAGCCAGAATGGACTTTTTCCAAACAAAAGCGGCAAGTCTCAAATAAATCACATGATCCTGGGAGCTGGGTCTTTATGAGGAAACATCAGACAGCACAAGAGTCATGACAACAGCAGCACAAGTCAGGCAGAGCACTGGATCTCCCCAGCCCCGCCCCCAGTGTGCATCTCCACACCCCGTCTCCATGCGGACATCCCTGCTCCCCCCCTTACCTGCATGGCTGTATCCATACAGACGGCGTGTTTATACATACAGGGATGCAGGCTGAAGGCACAGTGCATTTTCAGGCTGCTGAAGCCGGTCCGGCTCGGACTTTGCTATCTGAGCCACTTCCATTGATTCGGCTTCACCCTCCCGTGCCTAAGACATTGACCCGATTTCATGAACCCCCAGCCAGGGGGACACGCGCTGCAAATCGGGAGCTGCCTGCTTCCAGTTAAGCAGGTAAGAGCCTTGGGTCTGAGGTCAGAGGGCCCCGACAAAGATTAGCCCCAAAGGCCCCCAGCTGCAGCAGTACCAGTCCCCCGGGGCCCAGGACCACTCACAGCCGCCTCCCTTCAGCTGAAGACGTGCACCTCTGCGGGTGTCCTGGTGGTTTGGATTTGCCCCAAAGCTGCAGCTTATCTCCTCGCACCAGTCCTGACCCCTGTTCCAAATGCAGACAGCGGTACAGGGCCTGCCAGCCACCACCTCCCTCACACACACCCCATCCCAGACCACTGCAAGAGTTAGAATACCCCACGGATAAGAACAGCCCCGTGCCTCACTCCCTGAGCCAGCCAGTCCCCCACCCCGGGAAAGGCCCTGAATCCCATTCCCCACCCCACTCTGAGCCAGCCCACCCCCTGGCTGCTGCTCCCAGATGGGGATTCCCCCTTAGTATGACTCTCATACACACAGCCCCACATATCCCATAGCTGGGCCTGCATCTGAGAGATCACGGCCACCACCCCAACCTGGCCCACAGCTCCACAGGAACTGGCCAACATCTTGTACTACAGCCCTGTGCCAGTCCCAGGCCTGGTGCCGTCAATGGCAGCAGCTCCCCGTTGGCCCCGGGAGGAGGAACCAAACACTGTCGCTAATAAATGCTTCTTATCTCAGAAAACACCTGTTACTCACCAGACACAGCTGGTAAATGACTCACCACCATCACATAGTGAGTTGGCAGCAAAGCTACCAATGGAACATAGGAGTCCTGGCTCCCAGCCCCCTGCTCCACTCCCAGAGCTGGGATAGAACCCAGGAGTCCTGGCTCCCAGTCCAGCCCCCTTAAGAACTGGCCCATTCTCCTCCTCCAGCAGAGCTGCGAGCCTGTGTCCATCCAGGCTGGGGGCACACAAAGCGTGGTATCTGGGCAGAGATTTGGGGGACATGGATGCAAATCCAGCCCACGCACACAAAGGCCCCATGTCCCCTGCTACAGAGATGAGGATAGCAGACGGCTCAGAGCAATGCAGCCTAGTTCTCCCCGCATTTCCAGGCTGCTGGGTAAGATGCCACCTCCTCTGCTTCACAGACAGTAACCTACTGTCCCTGCCACAGCTGCCTTCCTGTCTGGCTGGGAGGACATGGGACACTGTTTCCTGCACACACACCCAGAGATACACCCAGACAATGCAGAAAAGGGAAAGCAACATGCCTGGGTCAGCAGAGAGTAAAGGACAGAGGGATTGGAGCTGGGGAGGCTTCCACGCACTGAACAGGGACGGGGAGAGAATTGGTCATACTTTAATCACTGTGGCTGGCCTGGCTCAGCACACTACAGCCTGGACAGAACATAGAATCATAGAATATCAGGATTAGAAGGGACCTCAGGAGGTCATCTAGTCCAACCCCCTGCTCAAAGCAGGACCGATTCCCAACTAAATCATCCCAGCCAGGGCTTTGTCATGCCTGACCTTAAAAACCTTCTAGGGAAGGAAATTCCACCACCTCCCTAGGTAACGCATTCCAGTGTTTCACCACCCTCCTAGTGAAAAAGCTTTTCCTAATATCCAACCTAAACCTCCCCCACTGCAACTTGAGACCATTACTCCTTGTTCTGTCATCTGCTACCACTGAGAACAGTCTAGATCCATCATCTCTGGAACCCCCTTTCAGGTAGTTGAAAGCAGCTATCAAATCCCCCCTCATTCTTCTCTTCTGCAGGCTAAACATCCCCAGTTCCCTCAGCCTCTCCTCATAAGTCATGTGTTCCAGTCCCCTAATCATTTTTGTTTCCCTCCGCTGGACTCTTTCCAATTTTTCCACATCCTTCTTGTAGTGTGGGGCCCAAAACTGGACACAGTCCTCCAGATGAGGCCTCACCAACATCGAATAGAGGGGAACGATCACGTCCCTCGATCTGCTGGCAATGCCCCTACTTATACATCCCAAAATGCCATTGGCCTTCTTGGCAACAAGGGCACACTGTTGACTCATATCCAGCTTCTCGTCCACTGTAACCCCTAGGTCCTTTTCTGCAGAACTGCTGCCGAGTCATTTGGTTCCTAGTCTGTAGCGGTGCATTGGATTCTTCCGTCCTAAGTGCAGGACTCTGCACTTGTCCTTGTTGAACCTCATCAGATTTCTTTTGGCCCAATCCTCCAATTTGTCTAGGTCCCTCTGAACCCAGGAGTCCTGCTCCCAGTCACCCCCCCAGTCCAATAGGCCTCACTCCCCTCCCAGAGCTGAGATAGAACCCAGGAGTCCTGGCTCCCAGCCACCCACCCTCTGGCTCTAACCACTAGACCCCACTCTTCTCCCAGGGCCTCTGTCTCAGGCTGGCTGTGGGATACACTACTTTCCCTTGTGGCTCCCTCCTCTGCTAGCTCTGCCGAACCAGAACCTTTTGAGCTGCAATTTCCCCTCTTCAGCCCCTCCAAAGAAAACCCGGGTTGTAAACTGTGACTCAGGACACCTGGGTTCACTTCCCAGCCCTGCTGCTGGCTCCCTGTGTGACCAGGGCCAGTTCCTGCGTCGCCCAGAACCAAACTCCCCAGCTGTAACGTGGGGAGATGATCCTGCCTTTGGCCACTTAGACGGCTAACATTTTGGGCCAAGGATTGCGCCCAGCTCTGTGTCTGCACAGCACCACGCCTGACTGGGGGGGCCCTTGCAATCTCAGCCTGCGGGCCAGCACCCAGCACAATGGGGGAGCCCCTGATATGGCTGGGGGCAGCTGCAGAGCATCCGGCACAATGTGGGGGGACTCGTTTTGATCTCGGCTAGTGGGAGCCTATACAGCGCCCAACAGGACTGCCCCCCCGCCCCCAATCACGCCCAGCCCCTCCACTGCATTTTGGCTGGGAGGGCGAGGTCTGTGCAGCACCCGGCATGAGGGGGGAGTGGGGCCCCTCAGCCCTGTGTAACAAACAAACCCTAATTGCACCATCCCTGCGCTCCACTTAGATCAGTTTGATAAACGAGAGAGGAAAAGGCTCCAGGCAGATTTTTTGCCTGATGATTTTGCTGCAGAAGAAAAGGGTTTTTTTGTTCCCAGCCAGCTAAGGGATCTTTGCGAGAGAGAAAGACACACACAAAGGACAGACGGCCACAGGGCCGAGACACACAAAGGACAGACCGCCAATGGGACAGACACACAGACTGTTTCACTTTTTAAAAATAGCCATAGCTGCTGAGGGACTAGCCTGGCAAATGCACCCATCCCCAAACCCCTCTCCGCTCCGGCTTTCAGAGCCCTCTCTTAGGATTCGTCCCGCAGCGAGGACCATTATCCCAGCGAGCCAGGCACGCAGACCCCCTACCCGTAATGGGAAGCGACAGAGCCCTCTCGAGCTGTGCGCCACAGTCAGTCTAATTCTAAGAGCGTGAATGAAGCGGCCCCTAATTTAATAAGAAACCAGATCGAGCGTGAGGCGGGAGCATTAAAAATTCAGTTTTACATGAGGGGAAAAACAAAAACCTGAAACCGAAAAGGAGGAGGCGGAGGGTAATTGCAAAGCTGCATTATATCCTCCACTGCTCGGGGAAGCTCCCAGAGACCCGACTGAGCTGAGATCAACCTGGACTTAGTAGGGGGCTTGGTTATCCCCTTTTTCCTGGCTTTATAATTACAGTCTCTAACCCAAATCCCCCTCTTTTCCCTTCTCAAATCTACATTGCTAACTAGCACTGTTGTGTTGCTGTTAAATGGGCCCCACAGCCCAGAGGTGCATCTCAGAGCCAGGTAAGAGAGCCCTGTAAAAACAGCCCCCGTGCGCCACCCCACCCCAGAAGCAGCCACATCTCAGCACAGCAGGTACAAGGTAAACACAAGCAGCTGGTATTGCCAGCCTGGACCACACCCCCAAGCTGTGGTGCTAAGAGGCACCTGTTCCTCATCAGGAACATTTTGGGAGGGGGCAGCAAACAGAGAAGGGGGACCAGGATTGTGTCTGACTCTCCCTCTCCCTGCCTCCAGCTGAGTCAACAGGACCAGACAGCAGCAGCGGGGCTGCAAATGCACAAGCGTCTCCAGCTGGACCAGCCTGGCAGCCACCACGATTCCCGCACCAGCTTCACGCACCCAGATAAGATTCCCACCACTGCGGGTGAGCCAGGGAGGGGGCTAGTGGCCCCCCGCCACCCCCCCATGCTGCTTCAGTCAGCTCTGTGGACAATGCTGGCTCCGCATCGCAGCACGGGGTGGGGCGGGGCGATCTACAGGCTCCAGCAGCAGTAAGAAGCAAGTTACATGTAAAAGGCACCTTCCCACTGGGCAGTTCAGGTGCCAGGTGCCAGTCTTGGCCGGGGGGAGGAGACAAGGCCCTGAAGTGCTGGGTGCTCCAGTGTGAGGCAGGGCATGGGGTGGGACAGCAGCCAGATGGAAACACGCATTGGGAAGAGAGGATGACAAGACACCCCAATGCATAGATGGGGGAGGAGACGCTCCGGCCATTGTTAGGGGCTCAGAGCCAGGACTCCTGGGTTCTATCCCTGACTCTGGGAGGGGAATGGGGTTTAGTGGGTTAGAGCAGGTGTGGTTGGAAGCCAGGACTCCTGGGTTCTATCCCAGCTTTGGGAGGAGCACCATTCCAATAGCTCTAGCTACAAGAATGGATGGGGGCCCAGTTAACCTAGTTTGCCCTCTTGGCTGGCGTCACACAGCAGGTCAGACAAGATATTCACAACAGTCCCTTTTGGCTTGGACAATCTATGAATAACCCAGGCCAGGGAACAACACTCGGCAATTCACCCTTTGCAGCTGAGCGTTAACACAGGGATGACACTAACGTGCACTGAGGCCCTCAGGACTGCGGGGCAGGGACTGTCTCATCATGTGTTTCTCCCCCCCAAATACAGCCTCTCGGCACTACTGCAAAGGGTGAGCAGCCCGCACAGGAAACAGCAGCGAGAGGGGCCCAGACACAGGAGCCTTTCACATTCCCAGCTCTGCTGCGATGCAGGGAACCAAACACGAGACTTGCAGCATCCATGGGCTGGCAGGAGGCAGGTTCCAGTTCCCTGGCCCGCAACCATATCAAGGGAGTGATTTCTGATCCGGGATGGGGGCAAGGAGTCACCCCAAAGGGCTCTGGGGGAGCTGAGCACATTCCCCGGCCTCAACTGTGCTCAGACAACATTTAGCCTGGTCTGCACATTTAGCCTGGTCTGCATGCCCCTTGTAGCCATGGCTATACAAAGGACACACTAATCC